TTCTAGCACTGCAATTCAGAAGCATCAATTCTTCGGCCCTCATTCAGTCTTCTTTATTTTCCAACTCTCACATTTGTACATGACTACTGGAAAAACCATAGCTTTGACTAGATGGATCTTTGTCAGCAAAGTGATGTCTCTGCTTTTTAATACGCTCTCTAGGCTTGTCATAGTTTTTCTTCCAAAGAGCAAGTGTCTTTTAATTTCATGGCTGCAATAATTTTGGAGCCCAAGAAAATAAAATCTGTCACTGTTTCTACTTTTTCCCCATCTATTTGCCATGAAGTATTGGGACTGGATGCTATGATCTTAGTTAGCATGTTGAGTTTTAAGCCAGTTTTTGCACTCTCGTCTTTCACACTCATGAAGAGACTCTTTAGTTCCTCTTTACTTTCTGCCATGAGAGTGGTATCATCTGTGTATCTGAGGTTGTTGATATTTCTTCTGGCAATCTTGATTCCAGCTTGTGAGTCATCCAGCCCAGCATTTTGTATGATGTATTCTGCATGTAACTTAAATAAACAAGGTGACTATATACAGACATTACCAAATCTCAATTGAAAACTAGTCATTATTGAAAAGTTGGTCAGAGTTTGAGGTACAAGGAAATGTGTATTATCTTCCATCCTGAAAGCGAAACCAATGTTGAGGGTCCAGTAAAAGAGCTGGCAGAGTCAGGGTTTGATCCAGCCTGGTGATTAAGGATCTAGATAGATGTCAACACAACAGTTATTGCAGACACCCTCTATTGCATTAGAGAACTAGGGATTTTCAACAGGAATTTAAATAGCAGGAATAGAAAAGCCTTAACTTCTTCTCTGTGGGCCATTGATCAGTTAACATTTCTGTTTTATAATAATGAATATCAACTTGTACTTATCCTGAAAAAAATCTAGTTACCATCATCATTATTTGCTACTTTCAAGACATACTAAGATATACTCTATTAGAAATCCTAGTAGATTTCTTGTAATTTCATTTTAAAGAATTTTTTTACCATCTATCTCATGGATGAAATGGGGGAAATTTTCATTTTTTTCTTTATCTCCCTCCTGATGTTGTCATCTAGTTTACACAGAAGATCAAAGTAATAGGGAAACAGAACCTGGGTTCTCTGATTCCTGTTCTGGTATTTTCTCCATTACATTGAACATTTCCCAATGAAACATCAGTGGTGAACCACTTTGCTAGGAGAAAAAAACCTGTATTTGAAAAGCATCATATTACTATTTGCAAGGGTTTCCTGATTTTATATCTAAATATGAAACACTAAAAAAAAATGGTCAAAAATTATATTCCCTTGTTACATTAATATGCCTAAGATAAATTAAGTATAAAATTTTACTTCCTTTTTTCTTGCTGAACAATTTGTCCATTTATACATAGTGATTGACTCTAGGATTCTTGCCTGGAAAATCCCATAGTTAGAGGAGCCTGGCAGGCTACAGTCCATTGAGTTGTAAAAGTGACTTAGCACACATGCACGCACATGGCAACTGAATCACCTTCTCTGATGCTGTTCTTGATTCTTTTTCATTTTTTAGTCACAGCATGTTATCACATCTAAGCTTGAACTCTCAAAACTCTCCCTTTCCGTTTTTCTCTCTCTTTTACCATTTTCATCATATAAAGAGCTGTCCTTCCCTCAAGCGTCAAGACATTACATATCATTGATGCATTTTAAAAATTCTTCCTCTTAGACACTGCTGTCACTGTAGATGTAGATTAAATGTCTTAGCATCCATTTGTAAACCTTTGTGATTTAACTTTCACCAGATCCTTGCATAATTCTTTATAGTTGACAGTTGGTTTAATTGGTGATTTAATATACTAGTGCACTTATTTAAAATGTGCTTATGAAAACTGACCTTTGTGTAGAATATAGGTTGTGCTGCTCAGGTTCTCAAAGAGTTAATAAAACTAGCATTCACTTTGCTTAGCTTCCCAGAAGGTAATTTGGCTCATTTCCCAGACCAAACCCCTAAGGTAAAGGTCAAAGTGCAATGGATTGTATTAAGGTGCAGAATTCGAGCCTCTTATATCTTGCCCAACTTGTAGTCCTCCAGAACTCAGTGGGAGCTATGGTTCATCAGAGCTTCAGAACATGATTAACAGACTGAAGAAGGCCCTGTAGAATTTCCTTTAATGGGGAGTTGTATGAGTGAGTACAGTGGGTGAGTCTTTAATATTTCTTGCTTTTTAGCATCTGTATTGTGTTTTGAGAACCCCTTTTGAGTACAGAGCCATGTTTCATGTATGTGGGAACAGGCCCAGGGAATTCCTCATGGGTTAATAGCAGTAACTCTTGTAGTTTTTACAATAGGCTTAATAGAAATAGCCCATTCCCTGGGAGGAAAATAGACAAGCAAGGGTAGAGTCATGGTTTTTTAACTGGGCTTCACCAGTCATTCTTGACAAATGGAAAAGAGAGCTTCCTCTTTTTCATTTTTGACAAATGGGAAAGAGAGATTGGGGAAAGAAAGAAAAAAGGCAAGAGCAAGGCTGCAGAGATTAGGAACCTAAAATCACTTTTCTAGAAAGCTCTCAAGTTGACTCTAGAGTAAGAAGAGAGTGTCTGGAGGTTTAATGTTTTTCCTGTCAAAGGGGGATGATATACTTTAATCATTTTATCACTTTGAAATTAAAAATGGCTTATATTAACTGTTGTCCAGTGAAGATCATTTTCCCCCTCCTGAAGTGTGTTCATAACTACTTGGTGACCTACAGTCGTGATACTAAGTGACATCTGGAGAAGGAAATTGCAACCCACTCCAGTATTCTTGCCTGGAGAATCCCATGGAAAGAGGAGCCTGACAGGCTACAGTCCATGGGGTCGCAAGAGTCGGACACGACTTAGCAACTAAACTACCACCACCAAGTGACATCTGAGAGTGACTCAGAAGTGTCACTTTGCTTTTCTTCACTAATATATGAAAGTAGAGCCCCTTGCTATCTTGATTTTATGATGCTCCATATTATGCTCCATATTAGCTTTGTTTTGGGTTGATAACCTACAGCAGCCCAGTAGGTTAATAAGAGGCAGCATGCTTTACCATTTGAGCTCCTCTTTACATGAACCCTCCTGTTGACTGCTAGTGAACCAAAGCCTTCCCACCTCACCCCATCCCCAGGAGCCAGATCCCATAATGGTACCTCCCACTCATTCCTTACTCTCAGGATAAAGAGACCTCTGTGTCTGCCAGCTTTGGAAGAGTACTTTTGAAGTTGTATATCCAGCAGACTTCCCTGGAAAAGGAAATGGCAGCCCCCTTAAGAATTCTTTCTGGGAAAATCACTGAAAAGAGGAGCCTGGCAGGCTGCAGTCCATGAGGTTGCAAAGAGTCAGACATGATTGAGTGACTAACACACACTTTATCCGGTAGACTTAAAGGCTTATTTTCTTGCACATGCATAATTTCCATAATGAAAGATTGATAAGAAAGTGCTCTTCCTTCAGATCTACTCCTTCAAGTCCACAGGTGATATATGCTCTGATGACACATGATCAAACCAAGTACCTCTTTTAAAGAAACTCATAAATGTCACCATGACTCACTGCCATATGAAATTCCAGAAATAGCATATAACAATGTATAAGATGTGTCCTTTCCTTCTTTCTCTTTGCCCATTAAAAAGAAAAAACAGGAAGAAAAGCTGGGGAGTGTGTGACAGCCTAGGAATACTTTTAGTAGAACCAGAAACTCTTAAAGGTGCCTGATTTTGAATTTATTTCATTGACCAGCCCAGTGAGATTTTCTAACTAGGGCAGTTTTCTCTACCAGCGTTTAATAACCATTCCATCCCCTTGTACTTTATAGCAACAGAGTTGACAGTTCAGATGGGCTAGGATATGGGGAAGACTAGAAGAGCTAGCTATAAGCAAATGAGCAAGCAGAGAGAAACAAGATTGGAGAAACAAAAAGCATTATGGATGACCATCCTCTGGTATGTGGCCAGTGGGACGCTTCAGATTCATGTTAGTAGACAAGATTAGCTAGAGTACAGACCTTTCTTTTCCATTTGCCTTGCCTGCTGCATGCATACAAGCAAAGGTTGATGCATCAGTGTCCTCCTGGCAAAAAGACTTCCTGGCCTCAGTTTACAGAATATAATTGCTTAACTTCCTTATTTAAATCTCAGCTTTATTCCTGATCCTTTACTAAATAGTTTCATAAATACTTTAGTGTGGAATAAAATAAATACTATAAAGTATTTCATATTTGTTATAGTATTATAGCACAGTGCACCCTATTAATTTGTGTGTTCCATATTCATGGATTCAACCAACTACAGGTTTGAAAATATTACAGGGAAAAAATTCCAGAAATTTCCAAAAATCAAAAATTGAATTTGCCATGTACCGGTAACTATTTACATGGCATTTGCATTGTCTTTACAGCTATTTGCATCACATTTACATTGTATTGGGTATTAGAAGTAATCTAAGGGTGATTTAACATATATGGAATGGTGTATTTGTATATAATAAAAACACTGCAGTCATGTTATATAAAGGACTTGAGCATCTGCGGGTTTTGGTTTCCTGTGGAGAGTCCTAGAACCCGTCCCCTGAAGATACATACCAAGGGATGACTGTACTATAGTATGGCAAACATAGTAAATATGTTAAATACTTTCTTAAATACTTGAGTATATTTGTCTTCAACTAGTTAAGCATTCATTTCCCTCTATCCCCATTATCGCTAACCTCCTACGTACAAGATGTTCCCTTCCTTACCTATTATTCTCAAACTTCCCTCTGAGCCTACTATACCTCCCCCACCAAACTGAATTCTCAGTTAATATGAATCAGGATAGACAGACATATCAGCCTGTGTAAAAGACTGCCTCATCTTCAGACAAGTATGTTAGGCCTTATAACCCGTTGCTGTGACTATAGGGCCAGTTATTTACATTTATGGCAAGTATGTGCCTTCCATAAATCTAAATCTTAGTAGAGACCTTTGAAGCCAGTGTGATGGTGGTCTGATCTGTTTCAGTCACGTGACTCATGAAGTGACAGAGGATTTTTCTCCTCGGGATCCAAGAACTGTTGTTGTGAAGCAAGATGGCGGGGGCTGCACTTCAGTCACACCAGCATTGCACCTACCTGAACTGGAAAGAGAAGAGGAAAAAGAGGACATTTCAGATCCTCTGGACCTGAATCCCTGTAGTGCAACATACAGCAATTTAGGTAAGTGTCATATAAGTAGTATTTAAGTACTATTTAAACTATTTAAAAGTAGTATTTAAACTTTGCCTTTTTATGTACTAGCCAAATGCCATTATTTCCCTAGCGAGATGGTTTTTATTGTTTCATGGTGTAAAAGTTGGAAATTGGAGTTATAAATTTTAACTTACATCAGAAAAATTCATGTATTTAATATGTACTAGGCATGTATTAAACACATTACCATGAGTTCTGTATCATGCACTAAGAGTTTAACATGGTCCCTGCCTTGAGTGACTCACCTGGCAGGAAAGAAACTAGTTAATGACTTCAGTATAATAGGATAAGTGCGGTGATAGAGAATACACACAGAACATTTTTTATATTACGTTGGGGAGGGTGTCAAAAGATGCCTTCCTGAAGATACTTCCTTATTGAACTGATTGACAGAGGGGAAAAAAGAGTGTTCCAACCAGAGGCAGCAACATGAGCAAAAAGCAAGGAGATGTGAAATAGCTTGGAACATGTGGACATCACCACCATTTAGTGTAGCTGAAGTGTGCACTGGAGAATTAGACAAGGTCATGCATTTTGGGCTAAAACCTTAGTTTTTTGGTTTTTGGCTATTTGTGGTATTGAATTATTAAAAGGTTTTAAACAGAGGAATGACATGACTAGATTTGTGTTTTAGAACATCCACTGCAGTCTGCCATGTGAGGATGGATTAGAGGTGAATTATTTGGTAGCAGAAAATCTGGTAGTTGGGTACTATTGCAGGACCACAGAAAGGGATAAGAGAGAAAGGCCTCAACTAAGATAATGAGAAGGGGAACAGTGGACAGATTTGAAAGATATTTGAGAGGTAAAATACCTTGGTAGTTACCTAGATGTGAATGATATAAAGAATCTATAATATATCCCAGATTTCTGGCTTGGAGCTAGTGGACTCAAAGAGGTAAGATCCCAATTATTGGAGGTGTTTAGGCAGAGCCTGAAGGAGCATCTTTCAGAGATTCAGTGAAGGGGAATCCTGCACTACAAAGAGGGTTGAACTAAATTATCTCTAACGTACCTGTTAATGCAATGATTCTTCCACTTTGAAATCATCTTCTTTCTTGAGTGCCTGGTGACTTCTGATCACACTCTCTCCTTCCTTGAGTGTCAGAGTTTCCTTCCTTCTGAAAAGCAAAGCTTGGAGCTGGACAAGGATTTCTTAGTACTCTGCTCCCATGAAGTCATGAGAGATGAGTAGCGTGAACTCGACTGCCACATGCATGGCACTTGTAAGATTCTTGTGGGCTACTGGCCAGTTCTTCTATCTCGTTTTTTACCTCCTTTCTTTGTCTTTTTTCTCTAGCAGGTTCTTGTAAGGAAAAATCATTCCAAGATCAGCTAGTGTACTTGGAAATAAGGGCATCTTAAGAAGACCGAAAGGTTAGATAAAGCTAGGAGAAATGCTCTACTGTGTCCTTTTGGGAAACTCAATCATAACAACCCACATGCAGCTAAAAACACATTCCATAAGAACACTTCCATTCTAAGTTTCTGAAATGTTCTGTGATTTGTGGTTGGGGGAAAGTACACTCTTGCAGTTTACCCAAGCAACCTTCTTGGATACCATCTTCTAGTGGGAATAGATTTTATAGTCACAGAGCTTATTGAACTTTTTCCATTCTTTTACATTTTATGAAACATTATAAAATGAGAATTTTATTTTTTATTTACTATATGCCCTCAGCATATATATCAGGAATTACATTTCAGACATTCTTACTGCACCAAAATTTCTTTCATGTTGTCCTCAGTAAATATATGCAAACTTTTACTGATTGTATGTTATCTTATGGAATCATTGCTTTAAAAATATCCATTAGCCCACATCAGTTAAAGTTAACTATTTTATCTTGTTATCTTCTCAGTTATGTAGATTGTTAGGAAAAATATAGCATTACTTTCCTGAGTATGCCAAGTGCCTTACATATATTAACTCATTTAATCCTCATAACAACCTTGGGAATTATTATCTCCATTTTTCAGATGAAGAAAGTACATCAGAGTGCATTGCCCAAAGTCACAGAACCAGTAAGGACTGAATCAAGATCAGAACCCAGTTTGTCTATATTACTAGACTAAAATGACTATAAACATTAAATTCTTGAAAGATACTGAAAGGTTGCAAGTGTTTCCATTTTTTTTTAAGTCATCCACTTTGAGAGACAAACTTTAAGACATTTTTTGTAAAAGGTTTGATTAGAGTACAAAAATGCTAAGTTACAGATGCCCCATCAGAAAAATAACTTTCTTTCTACCTGTTGCTTTACTTTTAAAAGTATGTGATACTTATAAAATGTTGCCTAGCCTTCCTTAAGTTCTTAAGTGGTGATGCTTGACTCCATAGGATATGGTACATGGTTTTACTATGCAAGTACAATAATAACTGAATAATAGATAGAGTTGGCTCCATCAATTCTACAAACTGATAGGGTTTTTGTTGTTGTTGTTATTGTGTTGGTATTGCTAGTTTTCCTAATGGAACAGTATTTTAGGTGGCATCTGGAATTTACCTTTTTTAATATTTTCAATAAATCATTTGCATGAAGTTTTAAACTATCCCTTGGAGTAATTTATTAGGCTTTAATGCCTTGGTAGCTTTAAAAAATAAAAAGAACTTATATGTTTTAAGACCAAAAGGAAACAAAACCTCTTAATGTAATAGCTTCACATCCTTTTAAATATTCTAGAATCACTCCACAAACGCATTCTTTCTTTCTCATTTTTTTCCTTCTTCCTTAGTCTTCTTTAAAAAAATAATAATAATAATAAGTCAGAGAACATATGATCTGATGTAAGAAACTGACAGAGGGAAGTAAAGGATTACCGTAATGTTTCGCTGGGGAATTTATTTATGAAAACTGCATTGTTAAAAGTAGGCTTAGGAAACAGTGTTTTTTTTTCCTTGGTAGGAAAAAACATAGGTTTGGGGGGATCAGACAAGTTTGGGTTCTTATGACAGCTGTATCACTGCATGACTGTGGGTCAGTTATTTACCATCCTTGAGCTTCAATTTCTTCATCTGACATGAGAGAATTAGTAGCATCTGCTTTGTAGGGCTGATGGCAAAAGAAGTGTTTGATTCATAGAAGAGCTTAATTATTGTCAAGTTCCTTTATTTCTACCCCAAAATATACTGCTGCTTTCATTTGTCAATATGTTTGATGTGCTAGCCAGAAAATGTAAAGTAGAAATAATTTTAAATGTTTATTAGAAATGTTGAATAAACAGAGCAACAAAATGTAAATGCATAAAACTGTGGGCTGCCTGTGCAACTGATGACTGAGGGAGTGAAACGTAATGAGGAGACAGGACCCCCAAGGTGGCCAGCAGGGACCAGAGGAGATATGACAAATAATAGCAAAGTACTGTGACAGGCCCAGTGCCCCAACGTCTTCTAGTAGTGGCAAAACAGAGGAACATGGCAGACAGAGAAGGAAAAATATTGTATGACATCCCTTATATGTGGAATCTAAAAAGAAATGATACAAATGAACTTATTTACAAAACAGAAACGGACTCACAGACTTAGAGAATGAGCTTACGGTCACCAGAGGGTGGGGATGAATGGGGAAAAGGGTAATTTGGGAGTCTGGAATGGACATGTACACATGCTGTATTTAAAGTGGATAATGAACAAGGACCTACTGTATAACATATGGACTCTCCTGAGTGTTATTTGGCAGCCTGGATGGGAGGGGAGTTTGGGGGAGAATGGATACATGTATATGTATGGGTGAGTCCCTTTGCTATACTCAAAATAAAAAGCTTAAAAACAACAAAAGGGACATGGCTTGAACTTGTTCTGTACTTCTCACATTTCTTAGATAGTTCTGAAAACTAATAAGTCAGAAAACAACAACAACAAAAAACAACTGGACTGGAATAGGCCTTGATTGTCGTTATTGATGTTTAGTCACTAAGTCATGTCCAACTCTTTTGTGACTCCATGGACTGTAACCCACCATGCTCCTCTGTCCATGGGATTCAGGCAAAAATACTGGAGTGGGTTGCCATTTCCTTCTCCAGGGTATCTTCCTGACCCAGGGGTTGAACCCGTGTCTCCTACATTGGCAGGCAGATTCTTTACCACTGAGTCACCTGGGAAGCCCAGGCCCTGATTACTCTACTTTAGAATCTCCCCCTAGACCTCCACCCTTGCTACAGCTTCCTTTCTCCATGGTGGTATAACAAGAACTGTTGTGCTGCAACCATTCCTACAAAAAGCTACTGACTTATTCAAATCATTCATTTGTTTTTTTATCTCAGAGATCCTTCTCCAGGGTTAATTCAACTGCCTTTTTTCTCCTTAACATAAACAAAGCAAACTTTATTTTGTTTGTAACTGGGTTAATTATTAGATTTTAGAGCCTTCCTGTACAGTATGGTGGCCCCTAGCCACAGATGGCTCTTTAAAATTAAATTCATTAAAATATAGATAAAAATTCAGTTCCTCAGTCTCACTAACAACATTTCCAGTGCTCAATAGGCACATGTGGCTGATAGTTACTGTATTCAGCATGAGGATACAGAACATTTTTATCATCACAGGAAGTTCAACTGGACAGCACTGATTTAAAGAATTTGTTATTTGGCTGATTTGTATTGTGTTCTGTGGGCACAAAATAATGATTGGCTTTTATGCACTTGACAGGTCCTTAGGAATGTTGCCCCTTGCAGAGTGATGGTTTTCCTCTGGGTGACAGTGACGTGAGATCCCTGAACACACTCTGATCTATAACACCTTAATACCCCAAGCTGAATTTAGCAGGGTATCTGCCACTCAAAATGATTTCCTGAAGAAGTGATAGAAAGTTTTTTTAATCAGACCTTCAACACTTCCCCCATGTTTCTTGTGTCTATCTCAGAGTGTCTAGAAGAATTATCACTATATTTTTATGTGGAGCACATGGCTTCTTTATCAGCCCACTAAAATCAGGAGCTTGTAATGACTTCTACTCTGCTAGAAATTA